GGGAGTAGAAGCATGCAGAGATGGACTGCACGGCAATCTAGGAATTCGTTTAACCTACCTGGTATCAGTCGTGCAAGGTGCTGGTATCTGTGTTTTGCGCAGAACTTACAAAGCTGCGGGCCTTGAAATGCCTTGCTTTACCGGTCGGTTGCTTAGGTTTCCCAGGGGCTTGAGATGCAGTTTGCAATGGCAATCCTTACATATAATCTTGAGAAAATCGTGTTGGACAACGCGAAACTTATCCACAGGTAGACTAATACACAAAATATGAAACTTTCCTTTGCAAACGTCACATGAAACAGCGTTAGCACGGTGACGAACGAGTTAGATCAACTTCCGAAGGGAGACTGTTTGAAAATTTTTAACTTTAGCAGCGATCGTTACGACAGAATATGAGAAATATACGATCACGGGAAGTAGATTTGGACACGACATGTATTAATGACACACAGATTTGGAATCACAAATGACACAGAATTGCACAAAATGATACGGATAAGCACGATTTTACTAATGTAAACTACGAGGCAAACAAACCTAAGAGAGCCGCAAGAGACAAGTAGCATAGAACTACTTAAATGCTTCCAAAAACGGACAGAAAAATATTATCGGGCAATTCAGAATCATAAAGGATACTTAATTAGATAACAAGACCAAACTTACAACACATACCACAGAAAAACGGTACAAACTAGGCTGGGAACAGTGATTTGTTTCGAAGCAGCCGCCGTGACCTTGAATTGAGATAACAAGTATAGCGTTTTACTCTAATTGTTTCATACCATGCAAATGTAATGGGGGGGCGAGACTTCTTTCTAGTAAATGATGTATGCAGGTTGATAAAAAGCTGCAAAACTATAATATATGTAACCCGAAATCTCAGTGTTTCAAATAACGTAAATAAACTTCTCATTAGCGTAAGATCGCAACAGATATAGGCAATTTTTATACAACACTGTACGGCCTGTAGGGGACCGTTATCGCGGAATAATGGTATGCTATGTTCAATCTGGTAACTTGTGTTGGACATGCGCACGTTTAGAAGATGATTGCGCAATGGTATTTCAGCAAGCTATCTGCCTGATAGGTTACTAATTTGGCACAGAGGAGCCGGCCTACTAATTAAACCAGTAAATTTGGCATCGCCCCAAGTTAAAATCAAGGCTATGTTGAATGATACAACCAAGCTTAATCAAGTGAACCAATAAAATACACCATAACTATTATAGTTATCCTATCGGACTTAGTTCATACGATGCAACCTTCGGTGCGTGAATAGTGAATGGTGCGCTCAGTCGTCACTGATGTTTGGTGTCGAAGCTGGAACGTGTGCCGTGTTATACTCCACTCGTTGCTTTGCAGGTTATACTTGCCTACTTCGGAACATGATTAGCTTAGCGTACGTCATGTGATAATGCAGTATCATTGAATACAGTTGTTGTTCCCGTTACGGGGTATAAACTCTGATTATCTATCACACCTTAATGTGCATTTACAAAACTCCCGTCTCCTCTCGCTATGAGGTCACACATATTTTCCAGTCTGTTTTACAGATCCACATATTTTCCGAAAGTGTTCGTGATTTTGTCTAATCCATGTAAGGACAACGGTTAAGCAATAAGTATAAACAATGAAAGCTGAAACTGATTTGAAATACGCAAATAGTTTAACTTGTTTTCACAATGTCATGAAGTTGCCTAACTTCATGTGTATTGCTTGGCTTTGGTACCTATGGTGGTATACAATGTTGTTAGCGACGAAATACAAATATTATAATTCCTTAACAGCACCGTATCTTATGACACATTAATCTCGTTTCAATCATGCGAAACGCTTAAGGTCACAGAATTAAAGTACGTCTTTTTCGTTGAACGGGGTAGATTAACGAAATGATATAACAGGTATCAGAAATGTGCAAGATAACGAAATTACTCCCAATAATCTGCGCAACTGAGACGACGAAATAAATGTTTATTACTGCGCGCTATCTGGATCATATTCGCAAGTGTACTGCAACTTAATTGCAGAAGGAAGTTGGTTAAAAGCAAACATTCACGGAATTAAACTTTGCACAAGTGATTGTTTTAGGTGAAAATAAATGAAAAGTGTAACCACCTCGGTTAGGGGAGATATATATAAGTTCACCGTAAAATGGTGCATCTGGAAATGTACACCCATTGTAACTAAACTTTGCATTTAGCTAATGCAAAAAGGCATACGCATTTAGGTATACTAAGAAACACAGAATGATCCAAAGTAAGAAAATTGAACCGCAATCCCTCAAACGGAATAATCTGGAAGAGTTCGTACTTCAAGTAATATGTGCTAGTGGCTGTATGCCATTTTGTACATATATATAGACCACAGAAATACATAATATGCAATTCGAAGCTGAATAAAACTGGTTGCAGTGTTAAAAATTCGCACCTACCAAAATGACGCCTAAGCTAGCACTGTTGTTGTCGACACTTTACTTTCAGATATTTTTGGTGTTAATGAGTCTCGGTAAAATATTTTAACCGGGGCATCGAATCGTCCACCTGAATAGGGATACACCCTGTAAGCAAGTGACAAATATCCAAAAGTAGTTGGTTTGATAAACACTTCTTGCCAACTTCGAAACTGACACCCGTAACTATCACTTACTGCATCTTCTGTGAATGTGCTGTACAGGTTTAGCCAAGCAAATGTCAAAATAAGACCCAAAATGCAGCATACAAGCACAAGTTCTCGGCTAATAAAATGACATTCTCCATTATAAAAGACATCGCACATAAACGACGGCATAGTCGTGGGGTTTGCCATAAACATAGAAATCTTTTCAGCAAGAAGTGAGTCTGCAAAAACGAAGATTGCTTTTCAGACCGAGAATATGGTGCATGCCACCTTCTGCTTTTAGCATGTCAAGTGTTAGCAAACTGTAACTCAAATACTGCTATTCAAAAGTAGCTACAGGGTAAATGATAAAGTGACTTCCAGCAACATTATGTATAAAATATAAGCAATACATAGACGATAGCGTACAGGTTGTCTGCAATGCCGTATGAATTTTACTTCTCACAAGCGTGAATTTCATTTACGAACCATCTGTTAATTAACTAATGAAACTTATAAACAAATACCGTAATAAGCTTAAATGAAGCAAATGAAATATAGGCAAAATGAGATCAGGGGCAGTAGTTCAAAAAATGCTATGGTTGTTTGCTAGATTTCAACCTATTTTGATATTTGTTCTGTGAAAAATGGCCCCACAGTGACGCTTAAATCGTAAATGATATTTCTATTATGACATTTTGTATTGCAGTGAGAAATGACATTCCTACTTGGTTATATGACGTCCAATAAAATAAATTTCGTGCGTACCGTTGCGCACATTATTCCTTCGGTATTAATACATCCAACATTTGTCATCAATATCGATAATCTCAGACGTGTAAATTTGTAAAAATTTTAATTTTCTAGAGACGTAGCAGATAGAAAAGACATCATTTACCACAATGAGCAAGATATTTTACCAAGAGTGTCTTCCAAATCTTATCATCCTTGTATTTTCTACTGTCTGTATTGGAAATTATTCCAGTTTCTCCGTAGATCATCTGACTAAAGTTCACGTTGATTTTGCATTACATTGCCCCATTACGACTTGATTTATTGCAAACCACTGTTAATAGGTAGATCTGATGGCGGTAAGAAAGAAGACAATGAAACCTTCAAAATTAGATCGGCATTACAATTTTGCTAAAAATGTAATGCTAGCAGTAATTGGTTAATTGGTTCTCTAACTGTTATGCAAAAGTTATTTATTGAAGTGCTGCAAGAGGTGGCACCTGGCTTACCGAGGTTATGTATAGGACGAATGATCCACCAAGCCACAAGGATCACGGCATCATAACAATACTATTTTAAGGTATACCCTAAAAAGGAGTAACATTTTGATCACCAGCTTAGTTCCATCTCCAAGCGTTACGGAGCATCTTTGACAGAGCCAACAATTTGATCGCTCTTGTCATTCACTACCACACAAATGCATGAAAAATAATTTGCATTCATAGTATCATAACTTATCTGCAGTCATTATTGACAAGAATGGCGCATTCAGGACCAAGATAATCTTTCCGATTACATCAGTTGTATTTGTGTGCGCAAAAATAGATGATTCGCTCTTAACACCAAATCTCCACTGATGGGCCACATGTTCCAATTCCGATTTCGTAATGATACCGAGAACAAATTCATCGGATTGACTTAATGACGGATCAATATGGGTGACTAGTTATCTTCCAGGTGAGGTTTATGATCAGTCCACGACTCCTTTCATATTGCTGCCACGGTAAACCAATTACTTTGAGAAGTTCTGCATATTTAGATGTCACTGCAGCGACAGGTGAACTGGTAGATAATTTGAGGTGCTAAACTGACACCTGAATTGCCCACATTGTTCAGGAAAATAAATTTTCGTGGGTTGTAGACGAATTGTACTTGAGGGGTTGTGCATATGCTTGATAAAGTAGATCAAATCTTATATTATTACATGGTCCTCTTTGGACAGTAAACCTAGAAAAACATCCCTTTGTTCAACCCTTATCATTGACAGCTTCATCTTGTAGGTTTTACTTTAGACTTTCATGAAGGTCTCATGACAAACATTGATAAAAATTCTCCTAGGGAAACTCTTCTGTAGCCAATAATATTTTCATATGCGAATTCTTCTGGCTTTGTTGAATAGTATCATCAGGAGACCGCGCTTGCAATTATTAAGGTGGAAACTGGAGAAATGAAGACCCGCGTTCCGTTGGGTGACTTTGCTGAACAGCCTGCTCGTTTGCATAGCTTTTACCGCGCCAGGCGTACGCCATTTACTTAACTGTTTTGCCTAACTAACTTAACTGTAACAAATTAGGTTGGTTAAATAATTTTCTAATATATATTTTTGGTCTATGATTTCCTAGTTCCGCTTCGGATTTCTTAATATAAATCTTAATGCATTTTCTACTTTACAGAATGTGATTACCTTATACGGAGCCATGGACTAACCGAGGCAACGTTTGAGTCACCGACATCCAAAGGCGGTAGATTATTGTATCCCGACCGGTTATGCACTTTCTATTTTATGGGAACATTCGAGAGACAATACTTGGAAACTGTGCGCATTACTTTCGATCATCTCGTCTTGCCAAAGCCAAGCGGTTCCGGTGAGCGGTGAGTTTTCATTGTGGTACGCAGTTAAAACCCATTTACGATCAAATAAATGTGCCATAAGTATGTCCAATCAAAATTCAAAAAATACAACGGAACGTAGCAAACTGAATTCGTGGGGGACAATTGTTGAACATTTTTGTAGGCTTATCTAAGTTGTTCAAAAGCCAGCTAGTCCAACTCCAACTCGGAAAGGAAGCACACCAACGTTTTGGTAATTGGGCTTGCCAGATGTGCTCAATCCTCAATCCTCTGCTAGGGATAAAAACTCATGAATTTTATTGGTTTGCACGGCTAGCCAGAAATATATAATAGTGGGCCAAAAGAGAACATATACAATCATGACGGAAGTAGATGTAACTGCGAAATAGCACGACCCATCCTCCACAGCCATGCATATTACTGCTCATGCAAAAAAACAGCGGTATTGCGTATAGGTTAGAACTTCTCTTTCTAGTGCCGCGAATCTACACAGCATTTTAAAGACTGGTGGTGCTCAGTTTTTAATTAATAATCGGTAGACAGATTCGGGTACTATTTTAATTGGTTCATCGCAATTATATTACAATCCGCATATTTGAGCTACCAATCCGGAAACGCACTAGATAATGGTTTTGTTCTATTGGGACTTGGTAGTGGTGCGCAATTCATCGGTCCGCTGCTGGGGATGGAGCACCTGACCACTAGTGGTTTCACCACCAGCTAGCTTAGCAAAAGATGATATAATGGATGTTTCAATTATCTTATTTACCAATTAGATTTTGCTATCACACGCTTCACCAGACGGATTAAACTTGCTCTATTGTGTTTGATTTATTGAACTGTTTATCATGAGTTTGTCAGGCTGCGGCAAAATTTCTATTGATAAGACAATTGATAATTACCTAATCAGCATTAGTTAATCTGTATCCTGTCAAGCCTCACTGGCAAGTTATATATTATTTAAGATTTTGTCTGCAGTAAATATAAGATGAGTGCTTATAAGAACGTGCCGTAGAAGTGCATCTCTTGCACTGCATTTCCGAAACCCAATGGCTTAAGATAATAGAATATAAATCCAGTTATACTAATACACATCAAAATGTCTTTCATAAACCGTCACTAGCTCTTTCCACCACAATAGTTTGTTTGCCTGGACATTTCATTCCAATAATGTATTAACTGCTGTGTCATCGGTCTGGATAAAATGCTCCATGCACAGATCCCTTGTCAAGAGCTTTTGACGTCCAATGAACTATCCTGTATGTACACGAATGTTCAGGGCTTGCTTAACAAATTTTCGAACTGCAATTCCGACATTAAGCAAAGGCCTGTGACCACATTGCCATTACGGAGACATTGTTGCGCCCTAACATAAGTGATATCATAGTCTATTTGTCAGGTATGTCTGTCGTTCGTCACGACCGACCCAGTAAAGGAGGAGGAGTGGCCTTGGGGTTACGCGGTCACCTACAGTGTGAATCAATAAAAGATCCAGTCAACCTGGTGCAAGATTTGATTTGGGGTCTTCTATGCCTGAGAGGCAATGACACTTCCTTGATCAACGTGGGTTATCGCCCTTCATCTTCTATGCCGGAGAAGGACACCAAGCTGGGATCCGCACTGAAACACGTAATAAACAAGACGTACAGGCATATTATTATCACTAGTAATTTAAACATCTAGGGTCTGGAAACCAAAACTACACTTAGAGAACAGTACAAAACAGATATTTAAGATCTTGTAACCAATGTCTCGCTTTATGGTCACATAAGCATTCCAACCAGGTTCATAGAAGCAGCAAGCTATTCAAACTTGACCGGATATTGATCAACTCATGATTGAGAGTGTAATCATCGCTACAAATCTACGCAGCGATGATCATGAAACATTGCATTTCATGTACACCTGTCATCCAGAATATTTCAGGGCGAATACACAAGAGACACAAGCCATAACTCACTACGACATTTAAGCTAGTCTAGTTGCAGTGAAAAACTGGGATGGTTCAGACCACGATGCATTGGAGATTGCTTGGAATATTTCCTCAGCAAGTTTAACAACTTCGATGCCGATGCATCGGAGACCAAGGCTAACCATTCCAGCAACATGGTCTCCTTTGTATCGACAAGGACGCGAATATTCTTGGTGACTTGAAATGAGCAGGGTAAGCTTACAAAACCTACAGCAGCTTGAAAGCTAAAGGAATTACGCCGTCAAACTTAACATTATATACAAATAGTGTTCAACGGCAAAAAAGCATTTAGACAGGCTTTAACAGAACGATTTGTTTTGAATCCTAAAGTATTGTAGTTGCAAGTGAATAGCTTTCGTTGGGTAAATAACGAATTTTCTCCTTCCACAACCGATAACAGATCAACACGTGTGCCATAGTAGCATCAGATGCTCTGCAAAAGGCAGTGCGTACCAAATTTTGAATGTGTTCTGTGGTATCCTTACTCATTGGAATGTAATGCACCATCACTATGTCTTTTGCATATACACCCCACGCAGGCACCGAGAAGATAAAAGTATTATCTTTGCGTCCACATACCTTTCCCCGAGTTGGTGATATTCGCCCCAAAGCGTTTGCTGTTGCAGCTAAGTAATTAGCTTAAAGTTTGGCGGGATTATTCCACCACACTCTTGACAATCTGCATGTTCCTAGAGCATGGAAACGTGGGACAACAACCGATTTACAAAGGGAGCAGTCGTTCCGACCTACCTAATATCGGTTAATTAAATCCCACTTATTTTCTAAATCACGAAGGTGGTGTTTGTTGACTCGTCACTGTGTAAACTTGACGAACTTGGTTACCGCACGCAATGCTAACATGGTTTTCGTGGGAACCGATGGTACACTACCAATTTACTCTTTCTGCGAGACAATTGGACCCAAACGGTGGATGTGCATTTTGGGGTTGATGCTGTGTAACTCGGCTTCTCAAAGGCATTCTTCCAGTTGATCCACGGCATCCTTCTAGGCAAACTTCAGATTACAACATTGGTGATTCCCTCCAAAGTTAGCTAAACAACATCCTCCTACACAGCAGTCTGGAAGTGAAAGCTGGCGAACCTCCATCAAGTTCTATCCACATGTGATGTGGTGTGCCATAAGGTTCGGTATTGGTGATGTTTTTCTCCCTGGTTTGCAGTAACGACCAAGTGGATTTATCACTTAACACTGTTTGCTTTATACCAACTACATCAAAGTATGGCGGCTGATCAGTGGATGACTATCGTATACAACAATATAAAAAACTTAACAAGATAAATATATGGCCAATCTAAAGTGGACTTCCATTTAAGATGACTAAATGTTGAGCACTACATCTACTACACGATATTAAATATAATTATAAACTGGGCGACCATGCTCAGCATCACTTTAGCCGTATAAGATCATGGCTTGTTGGTCCAGTAAAAGCTAGGTAGCTCGGAGCAATCTGTACTAGCATCAAAGGATGGTAGCCAAAACTTGGGACTCTTAACGTGGGTTTTTGATCACCCTGACCCATCTATTTTCCCTCCTGCTTTCTGAACAAATAAACCCCGCACGCAAAATATACGATACATGGATGGCAGCCACGGCTGAATCAGAATCTCAATGTCTTGTAATTTGCGCAAAGTCTGCCCGTGAAAGCTGTCGAAGATTTATACCACCTACCCTACAAACAGCGCCTGTGTATTTTTGAAATTTCCAATAAACGCTTTCGGCATTTGCGTATTAAACGTATCATGGCAAACTAGGTCTTAAACAACGCTGTGCGATCCTGCTGTCATCTGTTAAAGCTCAGACATACTAACAGCCGGAAAAGCCAACATTTCGAACTGGCAGAGGAAACCCCAGCCTACTGGGGGCCAGTCCCTTCCTCTGCACATTCCAAACGCGCAAACAGTGGTGGATAAATTCAATAACGGTCATAAACGTTCCCTGTAGTCACACATGGCTCAGTAAGATTAGTCACGGTATCATAAGATTGTCATGGTTTCCAATCCGTCAGGATCCGGCTGGTGTGCGCCACGGACGAGTTCTGAACGGACGAAACAGCTGCCTAGTGAAATTTTTATGTGTGCTGTCTGTCTGTCTGAGTCTATCTGCGGCACACATTGAAAACTCAACCAGTCCACAAGTAGTCCATAATAACCACCAATCGTCTCAGCTGCTTCATGACAACTCGATTGGTACTCACTTGCAAAGAAGTTTAGATCGGGGACCAGCCCTATCCTCTGCACGTTGACAACATGCATGAAAGTGGAGCATAAGCCGCGCTCCATCACAGTTAGATATCAGCCATGTTGGCCCGTCTCCGTCACCCATGGCTTAGTGGCTTGTCATTGGTTCATAACAGTTAGGTCATGGGTCTGAATCCGACAGGATTCGGAAGATACACGTTACTGAGGAGTCCCAGTAGGACGAAATACTCCCTTTTTGCACTTTCCTGGTTGCCTGACTGAGTCTAGCTGCAATGAGTCTTCGCCTGTAGCCTGTTATCTGTGCCCCAGCATTAGCCGTGTACAAAGATCACGTTGACGAAACGCTGGTACCGTTATACCACATCATATAACACGCATGAATCGGCCGTACGTTCATAAAAACAAACCTCATAAAGGTAAACACAGACATTTCTTGGAGAAAAAACTAGTGACATCCCAATTGGTATAAAACAATATGTGAACTCAGCAGATATAGAAATGCTGTTGTTTTGGTTACTCTTCCTCTTTTAACTCTCACTCGGCATTCTGCGTAACATGTTAGGCCACAGGTTTGTTTTATCGGCGATTTACCTTTGATCATCGACCACGGAGAGTTCTACACACAAGAGTCCACTTCTTCGAAAATATTAGGATGCAGTAAGTGGTCGGTAACACTGATTTTGCTGCACTTCCCAGTGAGAGAAGACAACAGTCTGACTTTACATATTGTCTGTATGTTAATTAACGATGCATTTTACACAATCTAAAGGTTACGGTTTATATTATCAACAAATAACAATAATAATATATTACTAATAATAATAGGTGTAT